TCTTTGCCTGCTCCACCTCCGCATGACTATCTGCCGCATCATCCGCGATCTTGTTCGTGACCACTGGATGTACGCCTGCGTCTTCTGCAGCATGTGCAGCCAACTGTGCGTGCATGGATGCATTCTGTGCGTTGGTCAGGGCCGCCAATGCGGCTTGCCCCGCCGTTTCATGATCGCCGAGTTCCGCAGCATGCTTGGCTATGTTGGTATGGTTCTCCGCCTCTTCGGCTTCGTGAGCGGCACTGATGGCATGACCGTTCGCCAAGAAAGCATTGTGCTTGACGTCCAGCGAGGCCACCTTGTCGGACAGATTCGCGACCTTCCCGGCTGCATTCGCATTCTTCTTAGCGATATGCGCGGCATTCTCGGCCAACTTCGGTGCATCAGCCAGAACGTCGAGATCCATCGTTCATGCTTCTATGATAGAAAAAAACCAGACACACAGTTTTCACATGTAAGATCCGTCGTTCCACTCCTGCCTGTCCTCCTTGCTACGCTTCTCTGCCTTTCTCTCTGCCTTCTTCTCCTGCTCCTGAACGCGCTCCTCATCTTCCTCTGCACGCTGCTCTGCCCTCTTCCTGTCATCCTTCCTACGCTCCTTCTCTCTGTTCGCGTCCTCCTCCGCTCTCTGCTCCGCTTTCTTCTCGACCTGTGCTCTGTGCTCCTGGATACGTTCCTTCTCTTCCAGGACGTGATCGCCCTCCTTCTTGACGTCTTCCCAGACCCGACGTGAATCCTTCCTCTCGCCGGAACGCTTCCAAGGCTCGTCGTACGCCCTCCCCCCTCTCTTCTTCCGGTCCTCCTCCTCCTCGTGGTCTCTGAACAGCTTCCTGAGGTAGACCACCTCGTCGTCGTACTCGTGAGAGTTCTCGCGCCAGAAATCCCGGATGTCGGTCCCAGAATCGCTCAGCAAGTCGCTCTCCTCAGGGAACAGCTCCCTGAGGCCGTCGTAGCCGTCGGCGAGGGTCACCAGGGTACGCGCGAGGGTCTGCTCGGCGTTTTTCCTCGCATCCTGATCCACCTGCCTGATGAAACGCTTCAGCTGAAAGTTGCGCCTCTCCCTCCTCTCGAGCGTGTTCAGTTCCGCAGCCTTTCCGATCCTCCTGAGCTTCTCGAAGAAGTAGCCCCCGTCCCTCCTCGCTACGTTTCGGCGACGGGGAACGGTGGATGTTGTGTGGAGATCCTGACGGCGGGATGGTGCGGCGGTGGCCCTCATGAAGGTGACGGTCTGCTTGGCGATCACTGATGTCGCCATGTCTTTGCGTCCACGATATGGTACTGATACTAAAGCACGAGAAAAGAGTTTTCCTAAATCGCACGCCTGTCCCTGACCGCCCTGATCGCGTCCTGGACGAACCGCCTGTCTCCCGTCAGGCAGTAACCCACGTGCAGGTGCTGCACGATTCCCTTCTCGTGAGGCATCAGGAAGTAGGGTTCCGGCCAGCTCCATGCCCCCTGACCTACCATGGCCAAGAACAGTTGGAATCTCTTGCACCGTTCCCTCACGAGTCGCAAGCCGCCCGTCCCCTTCCTCAGGTAGTCCCCCGCTATCTCCAGGAGGTCTTGAAAGCACGGCCAGTCGCTCTCTTGGACGGTGGAGCGAGAGATCTCCTCCACTTCCCGCCACCTCGAAGCTCGAGCATCCTGAGCCCTGTCTCGCTTCCTCGCGTACGCCAGCATCTTCTTCATGGCCTCTCTCCGCCCGAAGCGTAGCATCGTCGCCTCGATGACGTCGCGGAAGCGGAAGAACTTCCTCGCGTGCACGTCTTTGTGTGCTCGCAGCGACCTCAAATCCTCGGACGCAAGGAAGAAGGTCTTTCTGGCTGCTGACACGGGCATCAACGCGGCCTCCTTCTCCGCCTCCATCATGAGATTCCGGACGGAGAAGCTCACGTATGGTTTTCCCGAGGGCGTGGTGTCCGCCTCATACTCGCAGTCTTCCTCGCACGCCAGTGGATCGACGCATCGGCCCAGGTCTATGGAAGGCCTCGCTCTGGACGTTTCGTCACACCTTCGTTCGTATGCTGCCATCATCAACGGCCAAGCCCTTCCAGTGGCGTCTCTGAAGCTCCTCGAGGTGCATGCCAGGGAGGCGACGGAAGAGGCCCTCATGTCCGAATGTCTGTCGAGCAGTTCCAGCAGCACGTCCGCGTCGACGGACTCGATGGGCGAGGTCGGTGCACGCTCGGTATGCTCCATGGTGCCTGACTTCGGTTACGGAGACCGACGGCCCTATATCGACGCTTATCGTTTAAAAAAAACTTGGGAGAGCTATAGGGTTACCTTACGTGTTTTTACGGTTGGATGAACGATCGCAGACAAGTGCGTTCAAACTCTGACCTCTTTTCTATAGGGGTATGTCAAACACAGATGGGGTATGTCAGGTTGTCCGAAGCAGCCGACCACTTCGGTGTGTGCACTAGGACTCTCATCAGATGGGAAGCTGCCGGGAAGATCAAGGTCGAGCGTAGCCCTGGAGGCAAGCGTATCTACGACCTCAAGAGCCTCGATCCCTCCAGCGAGCGCGCCTCCTACATCTATACCAGAGTGTCCAGCCAGAAACAGAAGAACGATCTTCGACGTCAAGAGTCATATATGCGTGACCAGTACCCCGGACACTCAGTTATCAGCGACGTCGGATCGGGCCTCAATTTCAAGAGGAAGGGACTTCTATCCCTTCTGGAACAGAGCGAGAAGGGACTTGTACGAGAGGTTGTGGTTGCCTCAAAAGACAGACTGTGTCGTTTCGGATTCGATCTGCTCTCGTGGTTCTTCGAAAGACACGGTGTCCGCCTCGTGGTTCTCCAACAAGACGATAAGTCTCCAGAGGCAGAGCTGGCAGAGGACGTGCTCGCGGTCGTTCAGGTGTTCGGTTGTCGATGGAACGGGAGAAGACGTTACGGAGGAGGAACAGACGGTACCAAAGGACGAAGAAAGCGAGCACGAAGAAGCAGAGGAGTTGATCAGGATGCGGAAAGTTCGGATCCTCCCAAAGAAGTATCAGAAGAGGATGCTGAACGACTGGAGGCACGCGGCTCGATACAGCTACAACAAGGCAGTGTTCCTCATGAACGAGACAGCGAGCTTCAACAAGATGTACCTCCGGGACTTGATCACCCCAGTTGAAGTGAATGGAGACAAGCCACACCTCTTGAAGACACCCAAGGACGTGAGGGCCGCTGCGGTTTTCGAAGCGGCCAAGAATGCTAAATCCTGCTTCAGCAATCGAGAACGTGGGAACATCACCGGGTTCCGATTTTCCTTCAAGACGAAGAAAAAAGAGGACTCGAAGGGGTGGTGCTTGGGGATTGCAAAGACTGCTGTCAAGCGCAGGGGCAATCGCACCCTGATCATCTACGGAGATTATTGCCCTTGGGAGTTCGAGACGTTGGGTGCCATCGGCGAGATCACCAAGGACTGTCAGCTGCAATTCGATGGTGCCAAGTATTATCTCCTCTTGCCCTACTCAAAAACGCATCCAGCTAAAGTGAAGGGAAACACCAAATCTCTCATCAACGAGACGAGAGAGGCAGTGATAGCCCTGGACCCGGGAGTCAGAACATTCCTGACCGCCTACAGCCCCAGCGAGGCATACAAATTGGGCGATGGGTGTGCACAACGCCTGTTCTCGTTGGCTATCACCTTGGACAGACTACTCGCTTTCGAGAAGCGCATCCCGAAGGACCATCGGAAAAAACAAAGAGCAGTGAGATTGAGAATCATCAAGACACGAAGAAAGATAGCTCATCTGCGTGACGAGATGCACTACAAGGTCGCGGACTTCCTCACACGAAAAGCGAAGATCATTCTGTTGCCGACGTTCGAGACCAGCGAGATGGTCCGAAGATTCCAACGGCGGATCGGGAGCAAGAGTGTCAGGCAGATGTCGTTCCTGTCGCACTACAAGTTCAAACAGCGGCTGATAGCCAAGGCTGCTGGCAGGGGAGTGAGAGTCCTGATCGTTTCCGAGCATTACACGAGCAAGACCTGTGGCAGGTGCGGGGAAGTAAAGCAAAACCTAGAGGGTGCGAGGACCTTCAAGTGCGGAAGCTGCTTCGCAGTCATAGACAGGGATTGCAATGGTGCTCGGAACATACTACTTCGTGCGATACGAAGGAAGTAATTCGCCCCTAGGGGCGACTGCAAGATGGAGCCATGGCAGATATGTCATGCTTAGCCTGACAGACCACTGGACAATTGTAGTGATGTCTTGGTCTGTTCAGTGATTGATCCATCGGAGAGTACATCACCGACGTAGCTTTCATGGTGCTCAAACTCCTACGCAGTCTGAAGTACCTATCGACCTTGGAAGATGATGGGTTTTAGGGCGTATTGCTCCAAGAAATGCTCGGTCAGCGACTAGCAGGAGCACAAGCTGTCATGCAGCACTAGGAGGAAGGGACAGGTGTCGTTGCGGGCGTGGGAGACGCTATCTGGAGAGATAGATCCCAGGAAGAAAAGAACTGGTGTAAGTCATCTACCGTCGGTAGATAATATCTTGCTGGACATGTCGAGAGACATCTGAGAGTGCGTGTCTGACTTCAAACCAACGCTATCGTGCCGTCGAGTGGTGGCAGAGCTCCCATTCTCGTTTTCAGCTCGTCGGCGTTCGTGATGTCCAAAAAGTGCAACGTTTGTCTCTTCAAGGGCCGGTCTTCATTATCTCTGAGCACACAGAATGCGCCGTGGTTCTTAGTTGTGTGTACGTGCAATGTATAACGTGCTGCCTTGGCGATGTCACCCCTGTAGTAGTTGAGAGCTCCTTCGTGCACGTAGCATCTCCACTCTCCCTTCACCGGCATGGAACACACGTGCTCGCTCGGTATCTCGCACAGCCATGCTATGTTGCGCGAGAGGAGCTCCCAGCCCCACGTGTCCAGCGTGATCATGACGTCTTTCGGTTCCCTGAACGAACACACGGCGAGCGCGTAGGACCTTGCCTTGGACAGCACCCACGTGAGTTGGTCGGATGAGATCTTGTCCATGCTATGAGACCTCGATGCAAATGTACTCGGCCTCGCTGCCGCGTTCTGGCACCCCCGACAAATCTACGCAGTACGTGTAGTCATGGAAGTATTCGCTTATCCCTTTGGGAAGAGGGGGAGGCAATTCGTCAAGCTGGGCTCGCACGAGGGAAAGGCTCTCATCTTCATGCTGAACGATCCTACGCAGACGTTCGCCCTGTTGCTTGAGATCCTCCTGGATGTGTGCCCACTGCAGAGCCGAGACGGAGACGTCCCGACGGAGGTCCTAGAGGCGGAATTTGCAAAGTTGAAGGAGAGCGGAGACACGGTGGATCAGGATCTGATGAAAGCGTGTACTCATCTCAAGAAGAAGACGTGGGGCAGGGCGCAGTATGCGTAGCTCTCACGCGAGAATTCTCCTGCGTGAACTTATGCGGTCCTCATGGATCAGAGCGTCCCTTGCTTCTTTCGATTCCACGTCTGCTTGAACAGTTCGAGCAGGAACATTGCGGCGTACCCCTCTTCGAACTCGTACAGCATACGCCTTCCGTACTCGATACAAAATTGCGTCTCCCTGCGCCTCATATCTGCTATGATACCGAACACGGCCGAGACGCTCTACCTGGACGTCGCGGTGGACGAGGCGCCAAAGCCCTCCTGTCAGACGGCCGTGTACAGAGACGAGGCCTTCAGCGAGAACGAGACGCAAGGCCGGTCGATACTGGCACGTTTACCGATGGACTCACCGCTCGGAAAGGTCAAGAATTACAGGCCCGCGATCACCGAGATAGGGGACAACCTCTGCGACCCCGTCTCTATATCCAGGCTGAGCGTCATATTGCTGGACGACGCGGGGGCACTATACGATACTCGAGGTGCCGATCACTCTCTGGTCTTCGAGTTCAAGACGCTGGGGAAGAGGTTGCGCTTGCCCACGGATCCCCCTCCGCCGGCCAAGTACGAGCCGATACCCCCTGCACCAAGAGCGGTGGTCAGCTTCGAGAAGACCGCAAAGAGACCAAATGAACCCGTGACGGCAGCAAAGTACACGACGTACGCGTTCTTCGGGCTGACGGGGTTGGCGTGCGCGTACGGTGCCTGGCGTCTGTTTGGGCCGGAAGGGCCCGCCGAAGATGTGGTTTAGGGCTGGTAGGTGTCTCGGTGCTGTCATGACGATGGAGCAAGCGAAGAGGCTCGCGCAGCAGAAGAGTAAGGATCCGCACACGAAAGTAGGGTGTTTGATCGTGAACGATTCTGGGAAGGTCCTCAGCGCCGGAGTGAACTCGTTCCCGACCGGCGTCGACGACTCTCCATCTTACCGCTGGGTTCGACCGACCAAGTACAATTACGTGGTCCACGCAGAGCTGAATGCCATCGCCGAGGCTGCTAGCTCGGGCGTCTCGCTGCGAGGTGCGACGTGCATCCAAACGCTGTTCCCCTGCATCTCCTGCACGAAAGCGATCATCCAAGTAGGCATTCGCAAAATATGCGTTCCGCGCATAGGTAGGAGTCTCCTGTGGGAAGAGGAATGGCACTTTTCTAAAGAGATGCTCGACGAGGCTGGGGTCGACATAGAGTACGTGGATGAACAGACATAGGAAGTACGATCATGAACGCTTCGAGTAGGAGTCGAATCATGGACGAAAGGATCCGCACATTGCTCGAGGATCCTTCGAACGGCTACCCGGATCGGGGCCGTCTGTCCGAAGACGCACACTTCAGGAGACTGGTTGCAGACTTTCTCGGATGCACGGATGCGATCAACGAACTCAGCGTCTTTGCGAGGTCAGCAGGAGAGTCGCGTAAGAGTTTGAACGCTCTGATAAAGAGATTTGACGAGGTTAGGGGGTGCATGTGGAATACGCTCACCAGCTACGTCCTGTCTCATTAGTGCCTGCTTGAATATCCAAAGGAGTCAGCTCGAAATTCTGGACATAGAGTACCGAGTATATCATGGCCGCGTCTCATATGTACGAGTCGCCCGTCTACACCCTAAACGGAAGAAAGACGCCGGAGGAGTACCTCGATGAGCACATCCAATACACGAACGCCAGAGCCACGAGGCTGGGCTTCCAGTCCCCGTCCTTCCGAAAGCTCCCCAATCTCATCGCGCTCGCGATGAATATCGCATCGGTCCCGTACGAGTACCTGCCCATGATCAAATGGCTCGGCGAAGGCGCATACGGGACGGCATACTCCGCAAACGGGCTACCTCCCGAGTTCCACATCGCTATGTATAAGGACCTGCAATTCCGCACCGGTGACCCCGATTGCCATTTCGAACAGTGCGTGATCAAGACGGCTCTCGTGAAAGATAAGAAGGCTATCGATGCTTTCGTGAGGGAGTCGAAGATGCAGGGTTTGATAAGCTTGGAGACGTACGGACCCGTCAGCGGCAAGGACTTGGTCCCTAAGATCTGTTACGCAGGGATACTCTTTGGCGGAGGAATGGCTATCAGCATACAGGTCATGACGAGGGCGCCCGGTGACACCTTGCACGCGATCGCCGTCAGGCAGAACGGACTGACCGCCACGCAGTACGTCGCCGTGGAGAAGACCTTCGTCTCCATGTGGTCGCTAGGATTCGTTCACGGAGACTCCCACGCGAACAACATATTGTACGACGTCAAGAACGATAAGGTCACGATAATCGACGCCGGCATGACTCTCCTGCTACCGTTCGCCATCCGGGACGCCGTCAGGAGCTTTGACCCGGCCAGATACCCGGGACTAGAGATTTTCGCACGCACTATAGACCACCTGACGCATGGGTACATCCAGGACTACAACGCGGATGGAAAGATGTTGGCGACGTATTTGAAATGGGTCCTCCCCGAAGAGCGCAAGCTCGTCAATCGCCTGCGCTACGAAGCTTGGCAGCAGAGGATGGCTCGAGTCAGGAGGGCGTGGTAGGAGAAAAAAATGTAGAACAATGATATCTGATATGGCCGCTCATCCCGTGACGTATGTGGACGAGATCCTGGAGCAGATCGTTGGAGCAGATCGTTGCGAAGATGCCCCCGGGATCTCAATACCCGGCCGCTCTGGCCAGTAAGAAACTCGCCCATGTGGTTTCGAGGAATTCGCGAGTCACGAGAGAGCGCTTGAAAAATGCACTGGCGAGAACTTGCAATTGAGACAGGAGTACGCCGAAAAGAATGCAGACATGTTCTCGCGTTTCTTGGAGACTACGGGATCTCGTGCAGCAGCCAAAAAAAAGTATTTCGATATTCTCAGAAGGACATACCAGGAGACCGGGGTATACCTGGCGAACGTGCTGGAAGAGAAGATGGCGATCTTGTTGGCGGACAAGATACGAATGTTTCCAGCGATACGTGCTTACATCCTCAGAGAGGGTTTGTTGCGAAGACCAAATGAGATGGATAACCCATATCAAGCAGAGATCGCCAGATTCAAGAGAACGTTTGCGCTGCGCATCGGCCACTTGAATCCCCGCGTAATCTTCATGGCCATGCGACTGGTCGACAGCGACGACGAGGTACCTTCCGTACATTTCGGAAATCATAGAAATGTGTCCAGGTTGGACCAGATCTCGACGAATGCGTACGAAGCTGTCTTGAACCACACGAGACTCTTGAGAGGTCTCGCAGACCGTCTGAAGATCCAACGGCCGAGAATGTTTCCCAGCCCCGATATTCCTTTCCCTCCCGTGCTGCACGATAGAAATCGCATCAGAGCGAATGGATCGCGAGATGAGGTCAGCCCGCCGTTCTGGGCACCACCCTGAAGCCAACAAATTCTTCTTGCTAGAGATATACTAACCTAGACATATGGCACTCCAGAGAGCGGCCCGTGACGTTCTATTTCAGCTTCTTCACAATTTACCTGAGATAGAACCGGGGAACGCGTTGCGTTTCGCTCTGTCCTTCCGCGCCGGGAACGACAAGCTATTCTCGGTCGAACGCGAGTACTCTCCACCGCGCAGAGATGGCATCGCTCCGAGCCCTCTATTCGTTTTCAAAAGGTATTCCAGTCAAGGAAGGAGAGTCTTCCCGACGGGCGAGGAGCTGGTCACGAGCTTGAGCAGCCCCGACATCCTAGAACAGTTTGGCGAACTCATTCTCATCAAACTACGTCGGCTGCGACTTGGGCCGACGGATGACACGTTCGTGATCTTCGATGCATACAAGCCTCCGTATTTCAGTCTGAATTGGCAGGCCCTTCTGCCCGACGATGACAGGACGGAGACGCAAAAATTCATAGATACCCGAACCTGGAACGTGCCGACCTACACGATAGAAGCAGATGCATTCTTCGACCCCATCGCGTACGACGAGGTTCGGGATCGGAGCCAAGCGTATTTCATCCAGGAGAACGTACGGGACGGCAGGATACACAGGGTCTACGAGCCGGAGTCACTCTACAGATGGTTCGGCGAAGGAGGGAGGGTGAAGTCGCCGATGACGGACAGGGTCGTCAGGCTGCCCTTCCTGCGCCTCCCAGAGTACCTCAGGTAGGCACGTGGGTCCGGAAGTGACTCTATTTAGGGCGAGGGATGGGTAGGGGTAAGGCAGGATACCACGTAGCGTCCGAGATGGCCCGCAACCCCAGACCCCGCAGGCTCTGTGAAACAGTCGGATGCAAGAAGCAACCAACGTACGGAGAGCGTGGGAACAAAAAAGCGACACGCTGCTCCACCCACAAGGCTATCGACATGATAAATTTCAAGGCGACACGATGTGTTGTAGAGGGCTGCGGGAAGTCTGCAAACTTCGGCTTCGAGGGGAAGGCGCGACGCCGCTGCTCGAAACACCAGGAAGCGGGCATGACATGTCTCTCTGCTGCACGGTGCACCTTCAAGGGCTGCCCCACGGCTGCTTCTTACGGATTCGCTGGAAAGAAGAAGTGTCGATGCACGAAGCACAAGGAGGAAAAGATGATACTTTTTGGTGCGAAGCGCTGTGGTGTCGACGGGTGCTCCACGCAACCCAAGTTCGGTCGTGCTGGAGAGAAGCCGACTCGCTGTTCGAGGCACAAAGACGATGACATGGTCGATCTCGGTGCCAGAAAGTGCGAAGTGACCGTCTGTGAGAAGAGGGCATCGTTTGGATTACTTGGAGGACATCGGACGCGCTGCTCTAAGCACAAAGACGACATCATGACCAATCTTTGTGCAACTTACTGCGATGAACCCGGATGTTCTACGACGGCAAACTTCGGGCCGCCAGGGGCTAAGCACACGCGTTGTTACAAACATGAAGACGAGGGTATGATCAATGTGAAGTCAACAAAGTGCGAGATAGCAGGTTGCCAGACGATCGCATCATTCGCCCTGGTGGGGTCAAAGCGACACGAAGCGAAGCGATGTTTGAAGCATAAGACACCAGACATGATAAGTACGTGCAGAAAATGCAGCGGCGCACTATGCGATACACTGATCGCCAATCATCTCGAGTATTGCCTACCGTGCCGGATGCACCTCTTTCCGGACGCCCCCGTCGTGAACAACTGCCTGACCAAGGAGAGAGCGCTGCGCGAAGAGCTGAAGCAGTTGCTGCCGGAGTTCGAGCTCGACTTCAACAAGCGGATCGACGGCGAGACGTGCCACGCGATCCGCCCCGACGTCTTCGTGGACTTACTCACGCACGTCATCGTGATAGAGAACGACGAGAATCAGCATAAGGGGGGTTTTAGGGTTCGTACTCATGCGAGAACAAGCGGAACATGATGATATTGGAGTCCGTGGCGAACCGGCCTACCGTCATGCTTCGTTTCAATCCGGACGGATATGTAGATGAGCAGGGGGCGCGCAGAAACTCGTGCTTCGGCCTTCATAAGGCCAATGGCGCCATGCTCTTGAAAGACAAGAAGGACTACGAGAATAGGGTGTCGAAGTTGGTAGATCGCTTCCTGTACCATGTAGCAAACATCCCAGAAAAATCGTTCGTGGAAGAGAAATTATTTTACGACTCTACCTAGAAGGAAACGGTAGCTTAGACGGTTGGGTATGGAATATCATAAACATCGCCAGTCTTCCACACTTCAAATGAGGGCATTGGGAAATCAACGGTTTTCACCACGCTTCCATCTGCCATGGTGATGATGAGATTGACGCCTCCTTGACCGGAGAGGTCTCCATTCGGCGTGTACCAACCCCCCCAACCTGCAACCTTCTCTCCCTTCTTGAACCCTCCGTTACGCGTTTCGAAGTCGACTTGCTTGACTTCTCCTACACCGTGAAGTCGTGATGGCACAATCGCCTTGGCCCACCTGTTCCAAGCTTCGGTGCGCACCACGAAATGGTCGTTGTCTGGATAATTTGGGCTTCCCAGACTCTCGCATGGCACGCGCGTCCATGACCCCGTGAAGATGCCACCGTTGTTGCAGTTGACGTTACCACTTCCGTCTCTGAGACTTTGGAACCAGTCAAACTCATTGCAGCACATGTCTATGTGACTTCCCTGAGGAGGCCAGGCACGGTCACCGAGAGAATCGATGGCATCAGTGATATCGGTCACACTATACCCTCGTGATTTACCGTTGTATGACAGAATTCCACAACTCGAGCAACCTCCCAAAAAATCATAATTCCCAGAAGCGACATGCAGAGGGTACAAGCTGGTCTTGACAAAGTCCGTATCTCCATTGACGTCCGAACCATACCCGCACTGACCGTTGCCGGTCGCACAGTCCATGCCGGGGCTAGAGTAGAAAGTCACCGTGACGGGAGCAGAATCACCAAAGCCAAGAGTACTCCTCCGTTCGGGCATCGTAGCATTAGCATCACCTATTTTATCGGTCCACGTCTCGAAACCATCACTGGATCTTAACATCCTTCCACACAGGACATGATTCGGCATCAGCGCGAGGGTAGCGAAGGTGGCGAAGAGAACCAAGGGTTTGCATATAATGCTACATTGTGGCTGACTTCGCATGCCAAGGGTACTATATAGCAAGATTATTATTTTCAAGCCTTACACCCCCGTCGAGCACAATGCAATGCAGCGTAATCAGCAAAAGATGACTGATACAGACTTTCAACAATGGCCAGGATACATGTTTCGCATCACTCTCTGTCCCCTTTCTATGCAGCAGAATATTACACTTTGTCCAGAATAAAATGGCACGCGAGAAATCGGCGTCCGAAGGTCTCGTCCGAGAGCTTGGGAGCATCGGAGCATCCGAAAGGCATATCACAGCGGAAGCATCCGAAAGGCATATCACAGCGGAAGCATCCGAAAGCAAGTATCCGAAACAATGCGTCCGAAAGCAAGTATCCG